ATTTAGAGCCCCTAAGTGGATTTAGGCTATCTTATCAGAGAAATGGTAAAGTTTATTTGTTAACCGACAATGAAGATGTTGAACGATTCATTGCTTACATTAGTGTTTCACAAGATGATGTTACATTGTATGTTGTTGAACCTAGAAGTAGTATTGTTGGGTCAGTAGCGGGTAGTAATCAACTAATTTTTTCTCAAAACCCACAACCTTTCTCTAATCCAAATCCCAATCAACTTTCAGCACCAAATTCCGGTTTTCGTATTGACCAGTTAGACGATGATGAGCCAACAGAAAAAATTGTGAGTACTAGTCAGTATTCGAAATTTGGTCTTGGTCAATATCCGGACTTTGATATTGGTCAATACACGGATTTTGATGATGTTTCAGAAGAAGAAACAGACCATGCGTGTAATGATATTGATATTGGTCAATACCCGAATTTTGATGATGAAACAGCCGTTGCCGAAGAATGTAATGTTGATGATAATGAGGAGGAAGTTACGACTGTGAATGAACATGTTGAACATCCATTCTGTAATTCATATAATCCTGAAGAAGAAAAAGTCCCCGAAGAAAAGAAAATGCCACGGGCGTATAACTGGAATATGCCAGAATTACTTCAGATACCGGAAGAAGAGTTGATAAAGAAAGCAGTTGATTGTTACACAAAAGTTATTCGTATCAAGAAAGATGATTGTTTTGATACAAAGGAAGACTTGAAGATAGCTTTATATACGAAATGTGTGGAAGATGGCTATCAACTAAAAGTTAACAAATCAAGCAAAGATCGTTTCGAAACAAGGTGTATGATTGACAAAAACTGTACGTGGCGTATGATTGCAAAGAGAATAAAAGATTGCAAAATGTTTCAAGTTAGGACTTTTATTGATAAACATACATGTTCAAGAACCCAAGTTTTTCCTCACCATAGACAGGCAAACAAAAAGGTGTTGGGTGGTTTTCTGGCTGAGTTAATGTTTTTGAATGGCAGGGTATATCGGGGACATGAAATTATGACTGACATGAATGCTCGGTTCAAGATTAGTATATCATATTCTCAAGCTTGGAGAGCCAAATGTTATGCCTTGGAATTGTTGAGGGGGTCGCCAGAAGCATCGTTTGCCCAACTGCCGGCTTATTGTCACAATTTAAAGCTGAAAAATCCTGGGTCGGTAACTCATATCAAAACAGATAGAGATGGACGCTTTGAGTTGCTGTTTATCGCCATTGGTGCTACGGTTAGTAAATCAATATAATTTTGTTGACTCATTTTTGTTAGTTACATGCATTTCACATTTAAATGATTATATTTCTTGTGTATATTATTTTGTAGATTCGTTCGTTTATTACTTGCATGCGCCCAGTTATTATAGTTGACGGAGCACATTTGAAAGGTCGATACCTTGGAGTAAACTTATTAGCAGTAGCCATGGATGCTAACAATGGGATATTGCCAATAGCTTACGGGGTTGGCAAATCTGAAACCTCTGATTCATGGACATGGTTTATGGGGCATCTTAGGGATTGCATAGGTCCTATTAGCAATCTGACAATCATATCCGATAGGGCAAACTCAATTGACAACGTTGTTAGAAGGTGTTTCCCAGATGCTTTTCATGGACTTTGTGGTGTTCATTTGTATAGAAATCTAAAATCAAGGTCTGCTGGTATAAAAAAGCACAAATGGACATACTGGAAGGCTGTAAAAGCTTATCGGGAAGTGGATTTCAATAAGCATATAAATTGTTTAAGACGTGTTTTGCCTCAGTGTGCTCAAACACTAGAAGATGTCGGGTTTGAAAGATGGTCAAGAGTACATCAACTTGGAGCAAGATATGGTTTCATGACGTCTAATAGTGCAGAATCAATCAACGCTCTAAGTCGTCATTCCCGGAAATTACCCATTACTATGTTAATGGAGTTTTTTCGAGCCTCTATTCAACAGTGGTACTACAAGAAAAGAAACCATGCAGGTATTATTTCTTTGAATTCGTAACTTATCATATTATATATTTTACTAAGTATTGTTTATTTAAATTTACAGGAACATTGGAACATCGTGTTACACCATGGACTGAAAAAAAGATAACGAAACGTGTTGTGAAGTCAACGTCATGGAGAGTTGAACCATGTTCAAACACTTTGTTTCAAGTACTGGATAATAACTTAAATGGGCTAGTCGATCTAAATGCAAAGACGTGTAGTTGTATGAAATGGCAAACATCTGGTTATCCGTGTGGCCATGTTATAAAAGTTGCTCTTCATTTAAACCAAGATGATTCAAGCGCATACGCTATGGATTGCTACACTACAGAAGTTTATCGACAGACTTATGCCGAGATTGTCTACCCTATTCCACATCCTTCTGAGTGGGACATACCAGATGACTTACAAACAGTTTTGCCACCAGCCATGGACAGAAGGCTACCTGGCCGACCAAAAAGTCACGATCGTATACCGTCTAAGGGTGAAGAGAAGAAGAGATCGACATGTAGTCGGTGCAAGGAAAGTGGTCATACAAGGTTGACATGTGGATCACCAGTGCCATCAAAATCATCTTTTCCTCTACCAAAATATGGATCCTCATCAAAATCCAAAGCTCATATGGTGTCAAGCAAAAGGCAATCATCTTTAAAATCCCAATCACGATTGGCTTCACCTTTTGAGACTGTTAACTTAGGTGATTTTTAAATGCAAACGTTGTATTATGTGGATTTTATGTGTGAACTTTTAACATTTTCAGTTGAATTAATGACTCAGGCCAACCATTTTGACTTAACCAACTCTTGTTATTCAGTTGTTATCACTATTAGGCATGCATTTGACTATCGCAACACGGAAAATACAATCGCAACGCGAAATGAAAATCCCAACATGAAAATCGCAATGCGGAAATGAAAATCGCAACGAGAGAATCGCAATGCGAAATGAAAATCGCAATGCGAAATGAAAATCGCAACGAGAGAATCGCAATGCGAAATGAAAATCGCAATGCGAAATGAAAATCGCAACGACAGAATCGCAATGCGAAATTAAAATCGCAATGCGAAATGAAAATCGCAACGAAAGAATCGCAATGCGAAATGAAAATCGCAACGAAAGAATCGCAATGCGAAATGAAAATCGCAATGCGAAATGAAAATCGCAACGAGATAATCGCAATGCGAAATTATAAACGCATTGCGATTTTCATTTCCGCATTGCGATTTTCATTTCGCATTGCGATTCTCTCGTTGCGATTTTCATTTCGCATTGCGATTTTCATTTCGCATTGCGATAGTCATTTTTGCCTTCAACATAATGCAGATTGAAATCAACAAAATCAACCATTACATTTCAATCAATTAAACAAGCACAAATAAGAATTATGTTCGCATCAATTACACAAATCAACTTTTACAAATCATCTTTTACAAATCAATTAAACAATCAAAAATAAGCAATAATTCTTATTTCCGATCATCTACTATTGAATCAACTTTTACAAATCAATTAAACAATCAAAAAACAATCAATTAAACTATTGAATCAACTTTTGCAGCTCGACATCATTTTCACGCAGTTCACTTCTGAGATTAACCTGCAGAAACCAACATTTGTTCAAACAACACTTTCTACACATCTAAAACCTACAAACAGCAAATTATTGAATTCTAGTTACTTAACCAAACATTTTCAAACCAAAAGTATATAAACTTACCAATTGTTTATGGACATTTTTATAACGCGGAAGCAGGTAGGCAGCGTCTCGTATATATCGATTTAGCCATATAATGCCGAAACCACAAGCCTACTGCAGCTTTATCTCTATCGGTGGGAGGTAGATACTTGATGCTTCTCGTCGTCAAACGCTCCAACGCCAAGCATACGAGAGGACCACAATCTCCTCTGGCTCCGCTCGTTTGTTGTGGCGCGGTCTCGTCTCTAATAACTGTAATATTGAGCTTCTTTGGCTTCTTGTTTCCAGAACGAGTCCAATAATTGATCGCATCCAAGAATTTAGCCAAATGAGAGCTCCATCCCTTAATAACATCTCTTAAATCAGCCAATGATATGTAATTTATCATGCTGTCATACACTATTGTCTTAAGGGATGGGAGCTGAAGCTCGACGAGAATCCAATGTTTACGTTCCAAAACAGGGATAAACACCTGCAATCATAAGTAATAATTCATTCATTTGCGCACTTATTTCATAAAACCTTTAAACTCAATCTAAAATAAATACTAACCTTATCGACCTCCCACCATGCAGGATAAAGTTTAGCTTGTCCATTGCCCAAATCAAATGATTCATCTCGTGCATTCTTCAAGTGAACGGCGTGAAAAGACGTCGGCATTATTGTATATCGTATATTTTTATTTTTCTTAAGTTTTCTTATTATTAGAAGACGTGTCACCCACGCATCGATATGCTGTTTTACAAAAAAAGACATATATTAGTGACTTACATAAATTTAAAAAAATATTAATCAAATTGAAATATAAGAAAAATATAAGACTTACCCCCCCATCGAAATAGCCATTGTCTTCGACCCCTAATAATACACCCCACCAAGGCCGTTCAAGCAACAAAAAGATATCATCGGTGAGCTTGCATATGTCAGTGAAACACCCCTTGCTCCGCTCATGTAGATAAAAATCAACTGCGGTCTTAGCCCAAAGGGTGTTATCCAAAATTGTGTCCGGTAGTTGTTCCCTCTCCTCTTCAGATACCGGTATGGTACTGGCCGGTAACTCATACGAGAGCCAACTTGAATCCATCATGTCCGGCACGTCAGAGGGTTTCTCAAGAAGCCTACATATGACGCCATGTGAATCGGGCTCTTGAATGGTGGGAGGGACCTCTTCAATGATGACAGTGGCCTCTTGAACGGTGGGAGGGGACTCTCGAGGAATGATATGGGGGGCCTCTTCAACGATAGGAGTGGACTCTTGAGGGATGACAGGCGAGTCGGGCTTCTTCTTGCGGTGTCTTCGCACTATTGGGGTGTACGGAGACTTAATAGCACGTGCACGCTGTCTGATGCGTGAACTCCGTCGTGCAAGCATAACCCGACGTAAAGCATCCACTCTATCGGGCCGCTAAATAATTAAATACAAAAATCAGTAAATAAACAGACATGATATTTAAACAGTGAAAACAAAGACAAATATGTTTCAAACTTGCATTGTATTCACCCAAGTCATTATTCTATCATAGTTCACAAAATGCATCAGATAACAAAGAAAAATATGTTTCAAACTAATACCCTGAAGTTAGTATTTGTCTTTGTTTTGTCTATTGGTTGAAGTAATGCAATCCATTCAAGTTTCAATTTGCAGAAGAAGAAATAGTTTACTTTCGCAACACGAAACTTAAAATCGCAACGCGAAACCAAAATCGCAACGCGAAATGAAAATCGCAACGACAGAATCGCAATGCGAAATGAAAATCGCAACGAAAGAATCGCAACGCGAAATGAAAATCGCAATGCGATTTTGGTTTCGCGTTGCGATCTTGTCGTTGCGATTTTGGTTTCGCGTTGCGATTCTGTCGTTGCGATTTTCATTTCGCGTTGCGATTTTGGTTTCGCGTTGCGATTTTAAGTTTCGTGTTGCGAAAGTAAACTATTTCTTCTTCTGCAAATTGAAACTTTCAACCAAAAGACAAAACAAAGACAAATACTATTTCACAGTGTTAAAGAATACACAGTTTAGCAGAATTGGCAGCAACCGAACAAATTTACTTTCAACCAAAAGACAAAACAAAGACAAATACTATTTCACAGTGTTAAAGAATACACAGTTTAGCAGAATTGGCAGCAACCGAACAAATTTACTTTCAACCAAAAGACAAAACAAAGACAAATACTATTTCACAGTGTTAAAGAATACACAGTTTAGCAGAATTGGCAGCAACCGAACAAATTTACTTTCAACCAAAAGACAAAACAAAGACAAATATATTTCACAGTGTTAAAGAATACACAGTTTAGCAGAATTGGCAGCAACCGAACAAATTTACTTTCAACCAAAAGACAAAACAAAGACAAATACTATTTCACAGTGTTAAAGAATACACAGTTTAGCAGAATTGGCAGCAACCGAATAAATTTACTAAGCAATCTAAGTGAAATGGCTAATCTAAGTGAAATTACGAGTAAATTTATCATTAAGTTAAATATGGAAAATCTTAAACTTACCTCGTTGCGTAGAGTATGAACCTCATTCTGCAACGATACTATCATCTCACGTAGAGCGGCAACCTCACCACGTAAAGTTGACACCTCCACACGCCATGCACCATCGTTATCGCGTAGAGTACCGATCTCCTCACGCAAGGCATTGACCTCATCACGTAACTCCCTTGACTCATCCCGTTGAGGTGGAGGTGGAGAACAGGGAGATAGGAGTCGTGGCATCTTTGCCGGTCGCCTATCATGAGGTGATGGTGGAGAAGAGGCTCGATGATGTGACGGGATAGGTGATGGCTCTCGTTCTAGAGGTGTATAGTCGGTTCGATCGGGTGATGGCTCTAGGTGAGGTGATGGCTCTCGAATTGGAGGAAGTGGATGCTGCTCATCATCCGTGCCATCAAAAAAATTCTGACTAGCTTGCCACCAATCAGTGGCAAGCTCTTCCTCCGTGGGTGTCAGTCTTTGTAATGGAATGTTGGCCTCCTAAAATATAAAAACTCAAACAAAGTTAAACGTCTACTATTAATAACTTGTTTATATATTATATGAAAGTATTTGTGTTAACTTACATTATTTATTGTGGCATATGGTATTAAGTCTTCCCAATCCAACAGAGTTTTCCTCTTCCAGGAAATAGCCCTGGGAATATCATTTGACGTTTTTATTGCATATGTACGCATGCTGGGGAAAGCCTCGAATATCCAAATCTACAAACAATATAATAACAAAATTAGTAATTGTTAAATAATTAATTATAATTTTAGAAACATTATATAGAAATTCTTACCTTAAAGGCCCAAACAAAGCCTGACAAAGTGTATTTGGACCCATCGCCCCGCAAACTTTTGCGGTCATCAAAGGCAGACGACAACTTAGTCCAGGTAGCTTTCCATATATACGAACCCCACGGAAACAGATTCCATGCATTCAGGTCCTCTACCAATATTATTAGCTCCCGATGAATAGGTTGTCTGGCCTCTCTGCCTAAAAAGCCGGCATACACAAGTAGTAGAAGGCATACTCGGACAACATCGACGTCTTCCATCCGAGTGAAACCAGCTTTCTTATTAAATAATTTCTTCAGGTCGTCAACATGTAGGTTCGGCTTCTCCATTGACTCATCCGGAAAAACCCGGGATAACCATGATGGGCGGGCGATATGACGAGTGTACCGGCCTACATCATCGTGTCCGAATCGTAGACCAGTGATTAAGCAGAACTCCTTCCGCCCAAAGCAAGTATACGCTGGTGGAAAATGAAACCATATCTCTTCCTCACCACGTTGTATACTGTCGGGTAGATTTGATGTCATGGTCTGAAGCCACAAATGGGTCAAATTAGCATCTCCACCCGGATGCTGTACTCTCAGCCATGGCCCGAAGCAGGTTTCCTCAAACAATTGTCTTTGAGCAGGTGAAAGCTTCTTTGCAATTGTAGTGGCCAGGCTGACTTTATTTCTCAAGGTCAATTGAGCCGAAAAAAATTTCTACAAAAACAATAAACATACCAAGTTAGATATACCAAAAACTACACTGTGAAGATATACCAAAAACAATAAACATAAAAAGTAGTAGTTTATTCTTGAAACTAAAATTTGCAACACTGTTTTGTCTTTTGGTTGAAATGAAAATCGCAACGAGAGAATCGCAACGCGAGATGACAATCGCAACGAGAGAATCGCAACGCGAAATGAAAATCGCAACGAGAGAATCGCAACGCGAAATGAAAATCGCAATGCGATTTTGGTTTCGCGTTGCGATTCTCTCGTTGCGATTTTCATTTCGCGTTGCGATTCTCTCGTTGCGACAGTCATTCTCTCGTTGCGATTTTCATTTATCTCGTTGCGACTCTTCTGCAAATTGAAACTTGAATGGATTGCATTACTTCAACCAAAAGACAGAACAAAGACAAAGACAAATACTAACTTGAAAATCGCAACGAGAGAATAGCAACGCGAAATGAAAATCGCAACGACAGAATCGTAACGCGAAATGAAATCTAAGTGAAATGGTTAATCTATTATTGAAATGACCAGTAAACTTATCATCAGTTTCAATATGAAAAACCTACAATAATGCAAACATTTCAAAATAAAAATAATTAAAAAAACTAACCCTCGGAGGTTGATTTTCCATTTCTGAATATTGTGAGGGATTTCTGACCGTGAATGGTTGTGAGGGATTTCGCCGGAGATGGGGACGGAAATCTTCGGAGATGGGGACGGATTTCTTCGCCGTAGAGAGTGAGAGATGGAGATGGGACTGAGTTGTGATTTTAGGTTTTAGGTTATGAGTTGCGATTACGGGATTTTGTCTTAATATTCTTTTTGTAATTTGAAAATAAAATACGCGTAGCGATTATAATGGCGCTTTAAATATCGCGTTGCGATTTACGGATACGCGTTGCGATTTTATGTATTATCGTTGCGATTTACGGATACGCGTTGCGATATACGGATACGCATTGCGATTTACCCATACGCGTTGCGATTTACGGATACACGTTGCGATTTACGGATACGCGTTGCGATTTATGTGTTCGCGTTGCGATTTTCATATTCGCGTTGCGATTATGGAAAATCGCAATGCGAATTTGTACTATCGCATCGCGATTTTCAAGAATCGCGTTGCGATTTTGGAAACTGATTTGCGATTCTGGAAACTGATTTGCGATTCTGGGGATCGCGTTGCGATTTTTATTTCGCGTTGCGATTTTGTTGGTCATTTTGGCAAATCCAAAAAAAGTTGGTTAAAATCGTATATTATAACTTTTTTTTGGTCACTGAGGCGATTTTCTCTTATTAAAATCATAATATATTTTTAATTATATTAATTAATTATTAAAATAATAATATTATTAAAATATTAAAAATTGTAATATTAAATAAAATTATTATATTTTAAGGACTATTTTTAGATATTCAATAATTTTAAAATATTGTTTTTATCAAATTAATAAATAATATTAATTTTATTAATAGTATAGTATATATTTTCAAAATAAATATATAATGTTATATATTATAATTGTAACATCCTCAATATCGGGTTAGTGACCAAATTGTAAAATTTCATAATTTTGTGATAAAAGTAGAATAACTAAATAGTTCAATGATTTATTTGGAAATATTTCCTGAAAGTTATTAGTAATTATCAAAGGAATTAAAGGGAAAATGGTCATTTGACTTAGAAATAAATAAAATAATGATATATATAGGGATAAGGTTGAGAGATTTCTCTAGAAATCTCTTCATTCTTCTTCTTCTCCAACGTGAACCCAAAGAGCAAAGGTGAGTTTTTATTTAGTTGATTATTTGCTGAAATTTAAGTTGAGTTTTTATCATTAGATGATAATTAAGCTTAAGGAAAGCTTAAGTTGTCTTATAATTAAAGGTGAAGAAGTTATGAGAGATTAAAGAGAAGAGGTTTTTAAATGAATTTCTGTAAAAGAGTTGATAAGTTGAATTTGAAGTTAAATTTGACTTGTCATCAGCTTAATTAAGATATATGAAGTGATAGAATTGAAATTAGAACATATTGAAAATTAAGTATGATTATTGATTCCATATGAAAGATGGGATTTTGAGGTTTAAGATGATATAAATGGATATAAATTGATTTAAGTATGTGTATTTGAGTTAAGAATATAAAAGGGATGAAACATGAAGAATTGAAGCTGGAAATAATTAATTTTCATGCATGAATAGTGATTTCTGGGCAAAGAGTATCAGTACCCATTCAATAGGTATCGATACCCTCTTGAACGAAAAATTCCAGAATGTAATAAGAGTATCGATACCTTAGGGAGGGTATCGATACCCCCTAAAGGAAAAATGGAATTTTTGTTCATTAAACTAGCTTAAGTTATTAACATCAAGTTATAAGGTTTAGGCTTCTGATAACCGTCTCGAAAATTATGTTTATGTAGATATTGAGCCTAAATAAGTTTCAGAACAATCAAAGAATTAGGATTGAATCAAAGCAAGGCCAAGATGAGTGCATGTTATTATGTATATGGTGTTTTAGGGAAATAAGACTTGCGATGAGTCTATTTCCAATATTCGATTGCAAGAACCCAGGAATACAAACATGCTATTGGGATGAGTATTATATGCATATGAGTACATGCATATTTTTATATGTGTTATATGTTATTGTATACGTTACATGATCTGTGTAAACATAAGAGATTAAGTGAATGAACATAGATGACATATATATGATGATATAAGAATAAGATATGAGTTATTTAGGAAATATATGTGAAAAGATATGATATATATATGTTTATGTGATTATATGAAAAAGTGATATGAACTATATGACATATGAATATGAAATAAATACCTGGCAATAGGATATGAGAATATACGAGAAAATCATATGATATAAGATCAATGATTACACGTACATGTGATACGTGACAGAAAAAAGAGATATGTGTTTATAAAAGAAATGATATGAATAAGTGATGTGAATATGTGAAATGTTATAAATAATAATGCCCATGTTATGTGATATGAGAGCTAGGGGTATAGTTGGCATGCCAAGAGTCGAGGGTTACCTATGTTCTTCGGGACATATGGACAGGATTACCTATGTTCTTCGTGACATATGGCAGGATTACCTATGTCTTTCGGGACATATGGACATGATTACCTATGTTCTTCATGACATATGGCAGGATTACCTATGTCTTTCGGGACATATGGACATGATTACCTATGTTCTTCGGGACATATGGACAGTTTACCTATGTTCTTCAGAACATATGGACATATTACCTATGTTCTTCGGAACATATGGACAGATTATTATACGAGCTGTGGTGACAACATATATGTGCTCAACCTCAATGTACTCGAATACCTTAAGTTCTCAATAATGTACATGGGCTAATAAAGAGAGAATAATAAATACAATATATGTAATGTATATGCTTTTGGTGATATGAAATGCGTTATATGAATTATATGATGTTATGTGTTATATGATATACAGAAATGATAAGTGAAAGATCATATAATAAATTGGTTAATGATAATGATAGAGGTCAAGATAATGGTAGTATACGTGCATGTATGCAATGATTATATGATAGGATATATGCTTTTATATGATATGATAATATTAATTGTTTATGCAGTGATATGAGTAGAGTAATGTTACATGTTTTCATGCCTCACTAAGTCATCGACTTAGCGTGTGATTGTTTCACACGTAGGTTTGGAAAGCAAAAAGAGAAGTAAAGAGGAACAAGACATGTTAGTTCTCCTTACCGAAGATCAGATCATAAATGTAGTTGAATTACATGTATTTTGTTATATAGAATTTAGTTGGCATGTAATATAAAGGATTGTATTGGATACACTCTGATCGGTTTTGTAAAACAATTTAATTGTATTTATTAATGTGAAGTAATTATTTTTCTCAAGTGATGAAAGTTTAAGTATTTTATAAGTTTTATATAAGTTGATCGAAATTACTGTAGCAAGGGTATCAGTACACTGTAGTAGGATATCGATACCCCTATAACATTCTGGAAAATTTTAGCATTCAGTACTGTTCACGGTACTATTCACTATTGTTCATGGTATTATTCATTACTGTCCATAGCACTATTCATACCATATAATACTATTCATAAAAACGTTTATTTCCTTAAATTTGTTATAACGAACATATTTCAACGGTATATTATAGTATTTTCTTAATACAAGTCCAAATGTTTTGTTATTTTGTAAGAATATGGTTTCAAAAAGTCAATGTGACATTTTGGACTCGTATCCGGGTCGGGTACGGGTTGGGGTGTTTCAATAATAATAATTATAACAATAAAATATAACATTATATTAATAAAATTATCAATAAATATAATTTAACAATTAATTTTTTTATTAAAATGATACTAAAATAATATTTTAATATTAAATATATAAAATAATAATGTTTTGAGTGTTTATGATTTAACTTGAAAAGTTCGTAAAATGACTTACAAAATAACAGATCATAAGTCATTTTCCAGAAAATACAAAGGAAATTCAGTTGACCAGGAAAATGAATTACATTGATCATTTGTTTTCCACCAACCAAACATTGAAAAATGAGGAAAACATTTTTCGAAAAAACAATTACAGAAAAACTGTAGCACCCATGACCCGTATACGTCTCGAAATACGAGTTATAAATGTCACATCAACCTAACAAACATCCATTGAACGCAAATGCCTAAAACTTTATTTCATTTTAAAACATTCATATTTCAACTTTAAAATTATTTCCTTAATCACATTAAGTCATAAATTAATATTTTGATATCGAAAAACCAATCTATTTTCAAGCAGTGATTAGATAGTTTAGGGATGTTTCATAAACTATATAATACTGCCTAAACACGACTAGATTTTAAAATCATTCTAATATGACAAACTATTCATTCATAAATACGAATATAACTAATCTAGTCAAAATAAAGTGGTCCTAATTTACTATTACAGACCATTTAGAATAAAACTGATAAAAAAACTGATAACATAAATATACATGTCACTACTAGTCAAAAGTAACATCAAAGATGTCTTACTGATACTGATAATGTAGATGATCTCCAATAAGATGCTCGTGAGGCTCCTCACTGCACGTCCTTATCTCTAACAGAACCTACACATGAAAATCATCACGCGCTAAGTATAACTTAGTGAGGTAGTAATAAGATAAGGTTAGATAAAACATAAAAATATCATAAGTACAATAAAACGTTAAAAATAATTTAAATAAAGCGTTAAACTTTCAAACCGGCATATCTAAGCCGATTTCTTTATCGTAACTTGAAACTCAACTTATTTCATGATTTTATAACAATCATAATAAACAATATTATATCAAATAATCATATCATATTTCCTGCCAACTTAACATATTCATTACTTTCATAATTAATTTTCAAAGCCCAATGTATATTTAAAAGAATATAAAGTATGTGAGTAGAACATAAGGTGCGCACTAGACACACCACATTGTCAATCATAACTGATCATAATATGCACTCCAAGTACAATCATAACATGAGCACCAATGGTGCAATACATAATGTATACGAATGTATTGTACTTAACTTGAATTTACTCAACTTAATGGCATGCCAAATGTACTTGCGACTCTCAATGCAACATACAGTGGGCTTATAGATCATAATATTACCATTTAGTAATCAACGTCTTAAAAATCATAACATTTAAAATACATCATCATAAAATTAGTACTTTGGCAGTTCATATCCTAAATCATTCATAAATCTTGATGAAAATATTAAGGAAATAATCCATAATTATAAATTATAAATCATACTTGAAAATAATAATACGAGGTTGACTTATTGCAAGTCGTCCTCTATCATAATAATTAAATAAATAAATTGCACTCATCTTTACCTCACTATCGAACTTTTTATGCGATACTCCTAATCACATGCTTTATCCTTTCCTTTCTATTCGTTAAGGTTGCTAGATTTATCGAAGTCTGACAACGTAACATAATAACATAGCATATTCAAACTATATGTTAGTATCGAACTAACATAATTTAAACTTAAAAATATAAGTCTATAAAATAAAATCGATACAAAACTAAGTCATGCTTTCATAAAAAATCTCAAACTTCTCAAAATACTTTTTAACTTCCATAAATATTTATTTCCAACTTTAACCCCTCGACTTTTTCCAATTGCATTATCAAGCCACTAATTATGAATTCTTTCTAAAATTCACCTTTTCCATTAAATTCATAATAGCCCTTCACTATTAGGATCATTTCATATTAATTACTAAAATTTCCAGTACCTTAATAAAATACTCAAATCAATACTTTAACATTCAAAAACTTTCAATTTCATCCTAAAATTTCTTAGACTTTTCAAATTCAACCACCCAATTTGGTAAACTTGCAATTCAACCCCAACTCAATATTAAAATTCAAAAAAATCAGCATACTAATAAAATTTCCAGCATTGCAATAAACTTGCAATTAAATCCTAATACTTATAGGACCATTCGAATTCCACCCTTTAAATTTCCAAAATTTTCAATTTGGTTCCAATAAACTTTCTAACTTAAAATTCCAACATTCCAATGTTAAAAATTAACATTGGACACCCCAAATATCACATTCTTGCAACAATATCCCACAATTCTCAAAACTTGTATATTAGCCCTTTTACTATCTCAAGGTTCCAAATTGATCTCCAAATCACATAGAACACTTCTAATATTATTTCTAGACCATAGGAAATTTTTTAATATTTCCCCCTTAATTTTCTCCCCTTGGTCGAACCTTACTTTGAACATAGGGCAAACTTTTTGTTCAATTTCAAGCATGAATTCAACTTCCTTACACCAAAGTCATGCTATTCTAATCATCACAACATCAAATAGAATCAAAATTCAATCATTCTCATAAACCTTAGGTGTGGTTGAACCTAATACAAAGCTTAATACAACATACAAATCCTTCATCAATTCTTCAAAATCCATAAACCATACATAAACCCTAATTTCCAATCTCATGAAATAAGCATGATTACCATGTAATATTTATATCAAATGATAGAGAATTTCATGTAGATTAATTCTCTATTTCACAACTTAGTCCAAAAATCAATCATCTAGCCTTAAAAATGAAATCAAAATTTTCCCTTACCTTGGTATGTAGCTCACGACTTGGAGAAGGTTTGAAGCTGAAAATGTGTTTAATTTTTTGATTATTCTAGTATAAATAAACCTTAACACATGGCTTAATATAATATAATTGAATTTAAAATTCAATTATTGAGAAATCTCAAAAATACCATTAATGAAACTTGATAATTACCAAATGTCATTTCATTATCTTCCATTAAAATATTCATTAGTCAAAGATGAATCAACTTGGCTTTGATGTTCTACTTTAACCATGCAATTTTCAAAAATTGCATTTTAGTCACTAAAATTCCACTGTTCGGCCAAATCTAAAAAATTATACTAACATGAGCTAAATTTCTCTGATCTAAAATATGGAAATAATATTTCCAACCATTATCTAACATCCTTCAAATTTTCGTAAAATTCCGGTTCGATCTAATTATTCAATTTTTATATCGAAATTTAACGCTTTACAACTTTTAACATAAATCCCATACCGAAAATCTGATTACCAATTTTTTTTTGTTTTAGGCCAAACTGTTAAGTTTCAGGCTAACATATATAACTTTTTAAAATTACATTTTTTGTCTCTGAACTTTTACAAAATTTATACTTTAAACACTAAACTTTTAAAACTTATATTTTAATCACTAACTAAAATTTGATGTATTACAGAAACAAACAGACCCTAATTATAAGTTTTTTTTCATCGTGGTTAGGAGGAGTTTTATAAGGACGAGGAAGATGGAGGGTCAGTGTTGGATGAGAAAATATATTTTATCTCTTGCGCTTTCTTAAAATTTATCATACTTTAATTTGAAATTTGAAATTTTTGAAAGATTTGTTTATTTTTTTATATTATTTACGTAAATTAAGATAATTTCAAATTGAGATGTCACGTAAGAAAAAAATATATCTAATTAAATATCTTTTAAAAGGTACGACCGACTAAAAGGGTACACCTTTATTTTTTGTGACAAAAATAAATACTATCTTTATAAATAATTTTTAAAGATTATTGTGTTCATAAAAAAGTTTTAAAAACGATATATTTAAATGATAAAACCACAAGTAGCAAAGAGCCAAAGATCGAAGCCTTGGATCTTTGAGTACCAAGATCCATGATATACTAAAGTAAAGACGATTATTTGTATTATTTCTGTCATCCTATACTTTCTTTTCCTTTTCATGGGTTTTTCATCCCAACATTGTTTCTTTTAACTATTTTCTAAAATAGGGTCTTTTAAATATCATTTCCAAGAATAGTTAGATAGGCTTTTAGGGTAGGGTCACTTAAGAAGTGAAACGTTTGTAAAAAAATAATTAACGGATGATATGGCATGCAACATATGGAATTTACGTCCTCAAAAGCTGTCGGCCAAATAATTTTGCCGACATATATGGGTTGGCTTATGGGAACGTAAGGCCCCCCTTCTCTATTCCTGATAATAGGACACGAGTCGTTGATCTTGTAACTAATGTTGTTTCCTTCAAACCTGAAAACTGAGGATAGGGTTTGGTCGGCTTTAACTGCTGAAGTTCTCTAATCACACGTAAACGCTTTTTGTTTAGGAATGGTAAATGGGTACACTTTCGTGGATTCTGCACCGTTTCCGTTTTAATTAGAGCGGAGATGGGTATAATTTTAGTGGGTAGTGGACGGATGTAGATTTATAAAGTGGTATCCGTCGACCGTCGTGGGTGGTGGACGGGTAATGGGTTTGAGGCATTACCCGCCCCGTATCTGTCCGCCCAACTAAATATCTATTAAATTTTGGACCGTAATGAATTTAGTTGTAATTTTAGAGACTAATTTATAAATTTTAATATTGTATAATATATAACATATAATTTAACCAAATATTAAGGATATTTAGTCTTTAATCTGGTCTTTAATTAGGAAAATATTCGGCTCTTTGATTAAACCCATAATCTCACTAACCACGTCACTTTCCATGTTCTTTAGCCTATGCTGCCTATACAAACACAAATTAGCTGTACTATAAGCATTAACATCAAAAGCAGCAGTTTTCATGTTCTTTAGCCCCTCAAAACCCATATTAGGCGCACTATGATCATTATCATCGAAAGCAACTCAACAATCCAACTCTGTGACTACATGCTCCCTACAATCTGTCTCCATAACATTCGTAGAGCCACTCCTCTGACAAATTGAAGCATGCGTTGCTACCCCATCACGAACTGTCTGGGAGCCAACTCCAACATCCCATTAGTTTGCTGTCAGGCGGGTCTAGATGGGTATGTCGCTAGTGGGTAGTGGGTGTGGAGATGGATTTAAAAATGTACCCGCGTGGGCGGGTGTGGATTTGAAAATTTGTACCCATCATGGGTGGTGAACGGGTGGTGAATTGAAAAATATTAGGTGGGTATGGGGATGGCGGAGGGGGTATCCGCACCCGATCTACCCGTTTGCCTTCTTTACTTTTGTTACTTGATTATGCCATGGCCCCACCACCTTGACTGTTACTTTGACAAATCTCATCCGTAAACCCTAAAAATCATTAATAACTTGTTACAAATAGAGTACTCGTTATCATGTTGCTATATTGGATACGAAACAAATTATACATTGAAGTTGTTAGTGGTCGATTTAAAAATATTTTTTTAGGTGGACACACATATATTAATAGTATAAAATTTTTAAATATGATGAGTATAAATAAAATTTTAGGGTGGACACTGTCGGTAAAATAAGTAATTAATTGAAGAAAACCTAGATTTCAGGACAGACACGTGTCCACCCTCACTAAGCTGTGGCTTCGCCACCGAAGGTTGAGATGTATATTTTATATTAAGAAAATAAATTTAAAAAAATTAAAAATGGATTTATATAACTTTATAAATAAAAATAAACTATTAATAAAATATATAAATAAGATATATAAATTATATACTCCCTAAACTGTCTATTATTAACTTTTTTTGGTAAAATTTTTTTATTTTGACTAATTATTATTTAAAATTTATAATTGATAAAAATATATTTTAAAAATTTTCAATCAGGTAATTTTTAAATATATATTTTATAAAATTTAATTATTTAAAACATTTAAAATAACCAAGATTAAAGTTTAATAATTTTAATTTTTTAAAAGTCAACTAGAGATAATTTTTTATGGGACGGAGGGAGTAATAATTTAAAAAATTTCACTTTTGTTGAGGTGGTTAGTGATATATGTGGTTGGGTTTGGGTGGTTACAGTTGAGTTAGTTACAACTTAATTTGACCGAATCCTTTGGAAAGTGATAGGTTGGAGGTGGGTGGCCTCACAGCTGATTCAAAGATGACGTAACGTGGCTTCTCATTACGGTTGCTCCATTGGACGGTGCCTGCCTCTAAATGTGGCTTCCATTGTGCATCTAAATTTTCTCCATTATCCTCTAATTATTTTGACTCTTAAACTTTTATTGTATTCCTTTTAATCCTTACACTTGTATTTTTTCAGATTAACCCAAATATAATGGAATAATAACATTGTTGTATTGTTCTTAAAATGTCGACATCGATTGTTTTATTAGTTTCAACCATATCATTGAAAAAGGTTAAGGACTCTCTATCCTTGTATACATGTTTTATACTTTTCAAGACATCCAAACTATATCAATTACCAATTTTAATCGGTTAAGAGCTAAGCACATGAACATATGAAATATCACTAATATTCATTCCAAACTATAAATATAAAATCAAGCTTTTGAGGTCTTTAATCCACCTTTTATTTTGAAGATCATTCACTTCTTTAAAAGCTCCAATTATCGAGTTCAACCATGAGTAGTCATAATATCATATTAAAGCTTCCAAATACTAGAATTAAAAAAAATGGATATAAGTTTAATGAATTCTTACCCCTTCCAATTGAACTCGAGCTCTAGCTTGTCCAACATATCAAATCCTTCCGTTAATCATCAAATGGGTACATGGGTTTTGAAGAATGAAATTCACAGATGAAAAATCCCTTTCTCAATTTGTTAAAACCAATTCAAAATTTTTCATGTTACGATTATTTCTTATAAAAAATTCCAAACAGAAACTAAGATAATGTCACAAAACAACTCTACAATCGTGATATTTTATCTATAAAGTTTTATCTTCCAAATGTTCTTAGAAGTAAAATCGTGACATATTTTCAAAGTGTGAATCCTCCAATTTGGGACCATATGACGTATCACATGCTACACTTAGACAGACATACATGAGTTTATCCATATAATATAAAATTCTATGCCCATATCTAATCACGTATATATTTTGTGGGGGAAATCTCATTCTCCCTTGTCTTTCATTGCCGCAGAACTTGATCTCGAACGAGGCTCAAGGGCATAGAAGAGAGTAGTGGGTTAACTTGTAATTGTGAGATTTCCCTCAGATGGGTTTTACAAGGCTCCCAGGACTCACCTGCCGTTGCGGATTTAGCCGACTTTGTCGAGCACAAGCAAGGAAAATATTATTCCGAGTGGTTGAGGGATAGAGAGAGTTTTTGACGCCGAGAAAGTTGCTAACTTCATGGGGGAAGACAAGGAGAAGCTTTCCAGAGTTCTTCTGTTTTCAATAATCTTTTAGAGGCTTAATGCATAATTATAGCATAATCATACCAGCCATCTTACATTTTGCCTAGGTCAGGAGTCGAATTGTGCAACAGAAATTTTTGGAACGTTTCATTTGAAGGATAGGTTTATGAAGAAAAGTTTACAAACATATATCGGAACACCCCATCTTATAGAATCAATTTTCATTTTGTTTGGAAACCTAAGGGGAAGGGTGTGCTCTACTCTGTATAACCAGACACCATGACCACTTGAAATTTTTATCAACAGGAAACAGAAAGAAAGAAAGAAAAGAACAGCTGAGGGATGCAATTTACATTTATATCAGTTAAGGAGCCGAGACAAACTGAAAGGTTCCCCCTGCCCACCGTCTGCCAACCTTCTCTCCAAACAGCAAGCTGTTAGCTGCCGGAGTAGTCTTTCGAGATAAGATTGTAGGCAACCTCGCACGTCTTTCATTTTGGGATTTGTTGACAATATCATTGCATTAACCGTGTCTGCCACAACATCTCTACGCGACTCTTGGAGAAGATATCCAAAAGACGACTCCTGAGGCCGTTCATATGCCAGCAGGGCAATGCAGTCCTAACAAGAAAACCAACTCAATATTAGCTTTGGGTGCCAATCTGGTTCTAATTTTCTCAGGTGAGAGAGACATTAGATCAACCAGAGGACAGGAATTAAAGCATACCAGAAAGCTGTAAAAAACAGATAAGCGAGTTACTCTGCATCTATGTATGTGTTGAATATGGGTATATGTCAAATGCGTGAATGTTCAATTTTTCGAATATGTTCAAGTATATGTCGAACAAGAGTTTTTCAAGACAAAAACTGGAGTCGGAGCTAAAGTAACTCCAAATTGCCCCATCATGACATACACTAATGCTCAGAAATAAATGCAAGAAACTTGACATGCACACCAGACCAACTGCTTGTCAAAATTGCCTAAAAACAAGTACAACAGGAAAAGACAAGTCTTGAATCTTAGTTCTTCAAACAATGCACCAAAATGAAAAACAAATCACATCAGCTTGTACTTGCAGTTTGGTGAACTAAAACATGCCCAGCTGTGTTAACATAAGCTTAAAGTAAAGCAAATAAAAGGCACATCCCCAATATAATCTAATACATTCTAGAAGAAAGATCAATGGTCCAGAGAAAGTTTTAAGAAATGAATTCTCCTATGATTACCATCACTAAAGCATCAAATAAATTTTCTTCAGGCAACCCCAAAAATTTAGCTAATTCAATCCTTCCATGCTTGACAGCGTCTTCCAGTGCTCCAACCTACAAACAAATATGCCATCTTCTTCGTCCACATCAGTAGAACAAAGAATAAATTAAACTGATATATAGTTTACCGCTATACAATAAAAAACACACAATGAAAAACTATGTTGTTCAGGAATCAATGTCCGAAGGTCATGCTATCATTGTTTTACAATAGGCCTGCAACTTCAGGCTTCTTTGTGAAGCCAGATCAAGAACGCAACGCAATGTTTTTATACAGTTATGAACATGCCATCCAAATTTATATTATAGGCATCCAATCTAAAACTATTCAACAATGGAAGAGAGGCCTCTTAGAATTAAGAACCCAGGGCACCCTACGCGTGTCAGATGTGAATAGAAACTTTTTATCACCAACTGTACTTATCCTACTATCAGGCATATACTGCACACAAGCATAAGAAACTTATAACATGAAGTCAACAACAGAACTGCCAGGCTGTGTTATGCTATATTGTTATTGTTATTTGGGTTTGGAGCTTACTGCTCTTCAATTGTTGTCGGCATGGTAAGAACTTTTAATGTATTGACTTTAATAGAGTGATTCCATTTTATTTTTGTTCGGGGTGTTATTTAGAATAACAAAACTATTTAATTATGGAATTTCTTGTAGGCTTTCTATTCAGAATATGTCCCCTAACCTATTGAAAACTAGAATATGTACCTAAATCAAATAGATGACAATGTACAACCACTAAACTACTTTCCATCAGTTTTTAAGAACCTGAGGGATCTTTGTTTTCCAGTAATCAGTTTTTATTTTATTTTATTGTAAAAATAAAAGATGTATTAACTAGAAAGAGGATAGAATATGTACCCGTATCAATTCAACAAATTTTTGGCAGTGCAGCAGAAAGCAGACAGCTGATTTGTCGTCCTGTATGTAACATGTAAGTCAACGAAATTGTGCCTCAATCCAGAAAAACCAACTATATCAAGTAAATCGAGCAATGACCATGAAAAAATAAAATCTTATCACAGCTCAACTAAATCCACTCCACAACATTGTTTTACCATTTAAAACTTAAGCAGGATTGAAAACAATCACAGAATCAGTAGCAAGCTACAAGATAACGTAAATCACAAATGTTGTGACTAATATCCAGGCAACCTTAAAGGCTTGAGGAGAGAACTTGGGAAATTTTAATTTGATCCCATTGAAAGTAGAATAATATGCAATTCTTCCCTCTTTTTTGTTCTAGGGATAGAATGCAATAGACATTAACATGTTTAGCTGTATTCCTGGGTAAAACTGTCAGAGTCTGTTCCAATTCCATACCAACATGAAAGTGTTTTCTAAATTTTTCCCCAATGGACCCAATTCATTCACATCAGTGTATAAATGTATTGCCAAATACCAATATAAGTAAATAATCTGCCACAACAGATGTACAAAGAGAGGGAGGAAGAAAAGAGAGAGAATGAATGAAAAGAATAATTAATGTAGGGGAAAATACCAAGGTGAGACCAGAAACAGGAATTTGCAAGTGCAGGGATTGAACCCTAGCCTTGCTGGAATCTAGTTCTAAGACCCAGATCTAGAATGCATGTCAGACCTGATATCAACAAGTGAAGCCCATCTTATTGAAAAACTTATAAATTTCATGCAGGTCACCTGAAGGTCCCCATGAGAATTAGATTCGATAAGAAAACAAGAAGAATAAGCTGAAGCCAAAAATTTATAGAACCTTAATGGAAAGAAACTTAGAGAGAGAGAGATGCCTTAAAAGAACAAAATATTTTTTTCCTAGAATAATGTTAGAAGGAAAACATACATGCTTCACCAATGCGTAATAATTAACAACATAATTCAGTCCACTAAAGACGGTTAATTTAATAGCATATAACAATAGTAGACAAATCGTGTATACACCTGAACAATCTGAGGATACCAATCACGGAGTCTGTTCATAGCTGCATCAATCTCACCATTCCTGATTAGCTTCATTGGCAAGAAAAATAAAAATCTTCAAATTAACCAGAACAGCCACAATAACATGATGACTCAAAGAAATAGGAAAGTATACAAGGAAGCTTAAAAATGTTTTCTGTGTAATAGGAAAGGAAATGTGAATTAAGGGAATAGCCCCTCTAGAGAAAAAAAAGCATAAATAATAATGGTAATATAAAATGTGAATCGTCAAATCATACCTGCCGTACTGTCTTTCTCTGATTTAGTGCATACGTGATATCCTGATCCTCAAAACCATTTTCTTGAGCTATAAAGATAGGAGGGATAGTGCTTTTACTAGCCAAATCAAATGAATTGAGTGTATCTTCATAGCCATAATGTAGCAAGTACGCACGAACAAGTCTGTTGAACAAGATTATATATGTGTGTATATATATATATTAGAATAAAAACACACCATATTGTACAACTTATTAAGTCTAGTGCGATAGAGCAATAAGTTCTCAGGTTGATTTTTACACCCACCCATAGAGAAGCAGATAAAATCAACAGCTCCACAATGAAGAAATTATATATTAAAATTCAAGTTCAGGTCAAACACATGTAATTTGCACACATAAGATTTTATTTTATAGATTTAGTATGACATGTATATCTTCAAGTACTAATATTTTATCTTCTACTCATACCGCTTCTGGTGCTTCAATACCCTTTTAGACTTCTGCAATGCCTTATTACACTGTGATGTAAAATGAGGCAGAAGATAGACCAGTTATTAAGAACAAACAAGATGCAATTAATATTATCACCATCGCCTAGATATAGATGACAAGTTTCTATTTTGCAGCAACTGTTACATTATCAGAACAGTAGCCTAGATTTAAATAATTCAGATACTTCTTTAGCCACAAACATCAAATCATTCGATAGGTAACTGCATTGGACAAAAGAACAGAAAATATATAGCAGCAGAAGGAAAACAATATACCCATAACTAGTATTTGGAGGTAGAAATATATTTTCAATAGTCCTCTGATGCTTCAACCTTTCTTGAGCTTCACATTCCTGATATATGGCATCAAAGATACATCAAAGAAACATTTAAATAACCACTTAAAATGACAGACTGAGGGGACCATGGTTTACTAAGATTAAGAATACCATATACATAGGCAGAAAAAGGAAGCATAACTTGCCTTCAGATCAAAAGCAAACTTCTTTTGCCCAAAGTTGACGTGAACCCTGCACATTTTGAAATAACAATAAAAGGATCTCATTAGAACTTGAAATCATTACCACTTCAGCAACAACTTGCATGGTGATGAAACTATGTAATAAATATCCATGCAAGCATGGGCGGAACTTTGTAGGGACCAGCAGTAGCCTGGGTCCCAGCCAATTATTTTTTAATGTTAATTAATATATATATATATATATATTTGGGAAATAAATAAAATAAGTTCTACTGCCCCCCCTCAATTGAAAAAAAAAATTAAATACTACTATGTGGTTACTGATCATTAGATATTATTGGGCCCTATCTATTTTTTTTTGGAACCCTTCAATAAATTTCAAGTTCCGCTCCTGAATGCTAGTAGTAAGGAAAAGTCAGTAGATAAGATATATCATGAGTACATTTTAGGTGCTTTTAACTACCAAGGCAGCACACAATCACCAGAAAGGGCAACCTACTAGCACTACTGAATGAGAAGATTTTGTTTGATTTTTCAAATAACAGAACCACTATAAGCATCATTTTCATATAAAAGTCACAACCATAACACATCTTCCACTTTGGCATTAATCACAAAATTTCCCCTCGAAGATATAACCTAATTATAACATTCCCAAGCCATGTTTTTTAAAAATATACATGCCATTATTAATGGAGTAGGACTAAGAAGTCCAACTCAACAGCCACTGGACTAAGGACAATATTTTGTTATATTTGATTTAAACATAGTGCACCAATTGCCCAAGGATAGGGCTGTAACCTAGCTTAGCAGAGTCTGGCAACAACCTGCTCCATTTCAGCTTGATAATTTATAATTTATTAACTTGCTCAAGCCACATTTAAGCTTTGTTCAGATCTGAGAATTTTATCTCGTCCAACTTAAAGCCATATAAACAGACTCTGGCACTGTCACTATCATGAAATAAGTTTTAATAATCTCAGGCAATTTTTAGTTTATTTTACCTTTAAAGTAATTTTGAAAGGCCAAACAATATGTTGGAAAATGCCAGGAAAAAAGGTGTCATAACTAACCCCTCACTTCTCATTCATTATAGACAAACCTCAATGTATCACTTAAATGCAACTGAAGAGGAAGGAATAGAGAGAAATTAGCAGAGTCTGGCAACAACTTGCTCCATTTCAGCTTGATAATTTATAATTTATTAACTTGCTCAAGCCACATTTAAGCTTTGTTCAGATCTGAGAATTTTATCTTGTCCAACTTAAAGCCATATAAACTGACTCTGGCACTGTCACTATCATGAAATAAGTATTAATAATCTCAGGCAATTTTTAGCTTATTTTAAGGTGATTAGGCAGTTAGTGTTGTTGTGAAGGGTTGTTTTCTGGTTCTTTGTTTTTGGTGGGGGTACTATAAGTTTGTATCTTATGTAATTTCTTTTGTTTAATGAAATCTTAAGGTACTCTTTTCCTCCTTCCTCTGATTAAGGAGCTCGTCTACAAGCTTCTTTAATCAAGAAGGGGGTTTTTAACGAGGCCTTCAATTCCTATCAAAAATATATTTCACCAAATGCAAATATGGGTGCCTTACTGCCTTATAACAACATATAAATGAGAGTATTCATATAAATACACTATAAAAGAAGGTAAACATACTCCTCATTTTGGCTGTGAACAGCAATGGTGGGAAACAAGCAACGGTTCATTTCCTTTTCCTTGCTAAAAGTTCCTACTATTGCCCCATTTTTACTGGCATCAACATATGAGCACACAGAATAATGAGAATCTTCAGAAATGAACAGAACTTCACATGTAAGCAGCATAGACATTTGAGCCACAAGTGTTCCTAAATACAGTGCATGATGAACTGCACTTACGTGAAAAAGAATTCCTGTGAAGCAAAGTTTATGCCTCCACCAACTGTATCTCCTGTTGTATATGTTGGACCAAAAGCATCTCCCTTTGCTTGCCCACGATATAGCAACCCATCATCCCCATGATACCCGCAACTGTTTACTTCCCACCTGACACAGTTAAGGATACTTTGAACTTTAGTGTGCACGTACAAGAAGTTATGACAAATAAAAATTTTCTTACATGTATTATTTATTTAAAAGCTTTCATCCTGATTATATTTCTTTCATTCTTTAAAAAGTTTGTGTTTCCCACAATATTAAAAGAGAGAATTCATTCCTCTCTTTACTCTCCCCAACACACACACACACATTCCCAATCACTAAAAGGAGATTCATTTCTCTATGTATCCAAGATCTCTCACCAAAACAAGATATAAACTCAATTGAACTGAATTACCAAAAATAGAGACCCTCAACACAAGATCATTTCTTTGACATAGAAGGAGATTCATTTCTCTCAATATTCAGAACCTCTCATCAAAACTAGTCATAAAATCAGTTGAACTGAAAGAACAACAGGCATAACAAAAGATCAATTCACTTTCACTTCAACTAAGTCCACATACTAAGAGCGACTCCCTTTCCTCTTTTTCCAGACTAGATTTAATCTTCTTATGCATTGTTTTTCATTCTCAAGCAAATACACGATCAGACGTACTAATAAACGATAACAAGAAAGAGGTAAAAGGAAAAATACTGAGTATTAAAAGATTTATGTTTCCTAAGTTGCACCTAATAAATTTGAACCTATAGTGAACATTTTTCTCGCCCTTCATTTCTTGGTGGCTGTTCCAGGAACCTACTGGAGCCAAAAAAAAAATCAACAGATAAAACTAGAAAACATCAATGAAATTAATTCTCACTCTATCATTGCTTTTCTTTTTCCCTCTTGCTACTTAGTTAACTAATTGAAAAGCACTCGGTTATTTTTCCCTATTACTTTTCTTTTTTTCTTCATTTCCAGTTTTTCCCCATTTCATCAACCAAATGCAAACTAGTTCAAAAGAAAAGTACTCCAATTAAAACTCGTTTTCAACAACAGTATCTTGAAACAAAGAAGAAGAAGTAAACCCGATATTACCCCGGTTGCCTGCGCATCTTGAAGCCTTCACTGGTGAATCCAATAGCAATTTGTCCCTTGACTCCAGCGTCCTTCACATAAATCTCGAAGTAATAAACCAGACGCTTCACTGGAACCGGGTTATTGGCCTGAACCACACCGACATCGTGGCCATGGAGGCTTACGCCCGTATACTTCACCGACAACTTATCAGGCGCCACCACCAAGAACCCTGCCGAGCTATTAATCGTGTTGAGCTCAGTCGGTTCCGCCTCCTCATCCTCTTCCATCTCCACAGGAGCCTTAGACGAGCC